GGGGAAATGTTTCCTTAGTGCTCCCCCACCTCTGTGCCCCAAACTCCCCCTCTCTCACCATCTGCACAGGAGGTGTTCCCATAGGTTTATGCTTTAGATATGGGCTTGCAAGGCTTTGGCTTAATTTTTCCCTTCACTTTCAAATAACTCCCATTTGGAGGCTTTGTACATCCAGCAGAAAGCAGCAGGCTTGATTTGAGGTTTAAGAACCTTGACAATGTCTCTCTAAATAGAAGCTCTGCGAGGGAGATAATTGACTGAAGTGTTTGTGATGTTAAACTAAGAAGCAGTGAAGCTGGGAGCCCACACTAACTGCAGGTCCCCGTTTAAATTACATCAAACTCCCGAAAGAGCTGGAAGGAAGCTGCTAAAAAGTCTGCAGCTTCTAGCTGGGCTGTAGATGAAGGGCAGAGAGATGACGGATGCTAGAAGCTGACCCCCACCAGGGAACCTTCTGGTTATGCCATTCCGACCCTCACCTCATCACCACTCCCGTGGGACGGAGTCCAATTTCAGCCCCATTACCGACAGATTAGTGAGTCAGAAGCGACTGCCAAGAGGTGGTTAAAAGGTTCTTTCTCTCCTCTTCTCTCCTCATTCCTCCTCCCTCTTCTCTTCTCCTTCTTCCCTCCTCCCTTCTCCTTCACTCTTCGCCCTCTCTTTTTGTTAGCCTAGACTAGTGTGCCTGTGTTTAGATGCAGGCACTAGGACCCTGTGGAAGCTCAAGGGCTTCAAGAGAGACTTTGCTGATGGAATTTTTGCTACCAGGCTGACGAGAAAGGTTTGTGGGTGGGTGGGTGGGGGTGGCAAGGTCTTTTTCTGAGTATAGATTTGGGAATATAACCTCCACCCTTGGTTTGGGATTTTCTAGAAATCTGTGCTCCAGGTGGAGAGAGTGAGAATTTTCACCTCAGAGTTTCTGAGATGGAAAACTGTTACCAAGGAGAATTACCTTGTGGAGGGAAAGGAGATTCTGATCTCTCACCCTGAACCAGCAGAAGGAAAGGGATTGAGGAGGCATCTCTTCTATACTGGTCCTTTTGCTTCTTCTGGAATTCTTTTTCACCCCCTCCCAGTCCCTAGTACTCCAGTCACCCTTGGAGGGAGAGAGCTGGGTCTACTTTCTAGAAGGAAGGCTTCCCACACCCCAAATACCATTTGCTCTGTCCCCAGGAACCATGCCAACCACAGAATACTGTCTCCAAGATGGTGGTGCCTAACCTTATTCTGCCCTACCTGGCCCCACTCAGGATCTGATCTCTGATGCCCCCTAGTGGCTGACATGTTCCCCTTCTCTGCTTGGCCTCAAGAATTCAGTCTAAAGATTTGAAGGGACTGAGCATAGATCATAGAGACAGGGCCGGAAGGGACCTTAGAGTCATTTAATCCAATCTCCCTCATTTACAGCTGAGGAAAGGGAGATCCAAAGAAATAAAATGACTCGCTCACGGTTAGCTGGTGTATGATGGGGCAAGGATTTGAACTAAGGTCTTGAACCACTCCATGGATGATTTTTTCATCCCTCACCCCCTGGATGTCATAATGTCTATGAATCCTTTTTTCTATGCTTGCGGAAGGGGGGTGTCAGCCAGCTACTTGAAAACATGTTGTTGTGGCGAAATGAGGGCTCAGAGGAGTCCCTCTAATCTATTTGGGGGGCCTTGGGGGCACCTTGGACAGGATATCATGGACATTGTGGGCAACAGTCTCTGCTTCCTGATTTTTCTTGCCCTCCAACTGCAAAAATTGCCCTTCTCTATAACTTCCAACACATTAACTTCAATTTCTGGAGTGGTTCAAGTTGGAGAATGTAGCTTCCCACTCAGCTTCCTCCTCTGAAGTTGGGGTTTCCAGCTCCTCTCTCCATCCCCCCCCCAAATTTTGCCAGCTTCTTTTCAGACCCGGGTTCTATTTCAGAATGGTCTCAGGGGGTGGGAGAATCACACAGCTCAATTGCAAACTGCTTCCTTCTGCTACTTACTTGTTAAACTGTTCCTTTTTTTACTTTGTCATATCTAGTGCAAGAATACAATTTTTTGGTCTCATCTTTAATACACAACTAAGCTGGGGCAAGCACATTGTCCCAGGAGCTGACCCAATCTTCCCCAGCGTAGCGGACATGTAACTTTTTGGGTCAAATGTCACCTTGGCCGTGGCTGACTGGGTAAGCAAGGGTGCCTGCTAGTCTCACAGAGTTGCCAAGATATTGTTTGATGAAAGTGATATTTCTCAAAAACCACAGCAGGTCCTTCCTGTGTATACATAACTGTGTGTGGAGTGGACTTGTGTGTCTTACTTGTGTAACACGTATGGCTGACTTGCTTTCCCTACAGCTTTGTGCTACGCCATAGCCCTGCTTGGAACTTGTCAAGGTTACCACAGTTTGGCATCCAGAATCTCTCCTCTCTGCAGGCCAAAGGTTTCCAGACTGGAGCTAGACGATCTCCCTGACCCTCTCTCCTTTAGGGCATCATTCCCAAGCTGGCTGGCCCAATGTAGGGGGGCAACTTCCCCCAAACTGTTTTGCTTTCCAAACTACACTGTTTTCATTGTAAACTCATCTAATTCCCTGGGGCTTGGTGTTCCAAAGTGGTTCTAGGTATTGATCTGTCTGTGGGGCTAAGTGACTCATCCATACCCTTTTGAAAGAAGAGGCTGTTTTGTAGAAAGAAGATTAACTCAAAATAATAGTTAATAAATCCAGTATTATTGAATTGAGGAGGTTGGGCTGTTTCATTCTCTTTGGCTCAGCTGCTGCAAAGCAATTTCCTTGTTACTTTTGGAGAAACAAAGTAGCCCTCTTATTAACACTCCTCCGCTGTCTATTCAGAATGAGCTCATGTGGAGGGTCTCAGCAGTAGGGTTCCGGGAAGGGGGAGGAAAAGAGAGGGAAAGGGAGAGCTTACATGACTCTCTGACCCCTGGGTACCTCTTCAGTGTCTGAAATCTCAGTGGGGAAAGTCAATGTATGACAATTTTATTGCTAGAAGGGACATTAAAGGTTAATAATAATCAAGTCCCACTGATTGTACAGATGAGGAAATATACTTCCAAAAGGTGAAATAAGTTAACTCAGTGGCAGAGTCAGGACAGGAACTGAGTCCAGTCTTTTGTTGATTTCTATATAACTGACCCATTATGTTTCTCTGAGTCCACTGACTTTACTTTTTTGCCCTTGTTAATATCCCAAGGTGGAACACCCTCCGCCCAATGTTCAAGGCAACCCATCTAAAACTCAGGTTAGGAGGACCTGGATTTGAATTCTGCCTCAAGCACAGTCAATTAACTTTTCAGGACCTCAGTTTCCTGATCAGTGAAATTGAGGGAACTGGATTTGATGGCCTGAAAAGTCGCTTCTAGCTCTAAATCTGTAAGCCCACAAGCTTGGTAGATAAACTTAGAGAAATGCCTGAGAGTTAGTGTCCATGGCCACTCAGACAGTAGTAATAATAATAACAACAAGAATAACTAACATGTATAGCACATACTATGTGCCAAGCACTGTGCTAAGCCCTTTGGCCAAATATTCTTATTTGATTCTTACAACTCCTCTAGGAGATAGGTCCTATTGCTATCTCTATTTTACAGAAAAGGAACCTAAGGTTAAGTGACTTGCCCAGGGTACCACGTCTAGTAAGTGTGAGGCTGAATTTGAACTTGGGTCTTCCTGACTCCAGGCCCAGTGCTCTATCCACTAGGCTACCTAGCTGCAGGGTCACCTCACTAGTAATAATGATGATAATGATAGACATTTACTATGTGTCAGGCATTATGCTAAACATTTTTCAAACATCTCGATACTCACAACAACCCTGTGAGATAGGTGCTATTATTACCCTCATTTTACAGATGGGAAAACTGAGACAAATAGAGGTTAAGTGACTTATCCAGGGTCTCACAGTGAGTAAGTATGTGAGGCCAGATTTGAACTCAGATTTTCTTGACTCCAGGCCTAGCACTCTACCCGCTGCACCACCTAGCTAATAGAATATTAGAGGGAGGATTTAAAAGTCAGACTCCAGGCCTAGCCTCTTTTGTCATGTCCTGATGTCTGAGTCTTTCTCTTAAAATAACCTAATTTGATGGAAACAGCTTCAGACCCCAACAGAAAGAGAAACAACACTATGATTTCCCATGGTTCCCCTTCTAGCTGTAGGGCCAGCCTACAGTGAATGTCAAAGAGGGCAATACAGAGGGTAGCCACCTCCCAGAAGAGCAGCTGGCAAGGCCCCGTGGTAAATTCAGCTTCCTACATGGGCCTTCCTGACCCGAGACTCAGCTATGTAGGGGAAAACACTCTGGACACTTCTCTTCTCCCAGGGGTCCCGAGGCAGGCCACTCACACTGTCTCCCTCTGTTAAAATTTCAGATCCACATTAGATGACAAAGCTCTTCTGAGGCAAGCCCAACCCAAGGGAAACCTGTGAGTGTGAAAAGGAGACACCGTATGTTTGCCTCTGACCGCTCCTGGGCAGAGCAATGACAGTTCAGTTTGACTCTCCAGGAAAATGGGAAGAACACAAGCTTTGAACTTAAGAACAACCATTTTAATTTAAAACAGGAAACAAGTGCAAACAATTCACAAAAGTTCTCTAGGAAGGGTGATCAGTTTCCAATTCTGACCTAAAAAAAAAAAAAGGACTTTGCCATCTTGCTCAAAAGCAGGTTATTAGGAAACACTGGACTCAGAAAATCCCTTCTGGGTGGGGAAGGAATCTGACAAAACTGTTTCTTGGAGATCCCTGCCTTCAACAGCCCTGATGATGGGAGCTCCTAGCCTAGTACTGTGCCCTAGGCAAAGGAAGTGCTGCTTTAGTATTTGTTGGATTTGAGTTGAAGTGCCTAAGGAAACAGATGAAAGTTAATTGTTCTGAGAATCTCACCCCTGGGATGGTCTTCATGAGGTGCTGAAATGAGACCTTGAAGGCCTTGAACCATGATGGTTTGGTTACCTGGGATGCCGTGAAAGAAGGGGTTCCATTTGTGAAATTCACAGGTAAAACTAAGTTCCAGTTACTTGACCATTGCTTTCTGCCCACTCCTGGCTCTGGCTTTCTGAAACCTGAGGGTCCTCCAGAAATAGAAGGACAAACTTCTGAAAAGACCCCAAAAGTTGAGTCACCTAGACTCCACTAAGCTTAAATACAGATATACCAGGGACCTAGTTTGGACTTAGAGGGTGGGAAGCAAAAAGGAAGAAGTCCCTTAGGAACTAAATTATTTGGGAATGAGGATGGGACTGGTATTATTGATCCTAGCTTTGGGATCTAACCAGGGCCCAAAGCTCCCTGAATGCTTCCTCTAACTCTTAGAGGGAGGCATCCCTTTGTCCTCGGGGACATTCTCTCCTGAGACAAAGTTTCCCACTGAAAATATCTTGTTTTCAGCTGAAGGTTGATTCTGTTTCTGGCCCAGAGCCAGAGCAGCACCCAGATTGTAGGGGAGGATGTATGCAGAGCCAGCAAACAGATTTAGATAGCATATCCATGTTCTTCCTCACCTTCTATCCCTAAGTAGTTGAGGCATAAGGGAAAGAAATAGGTCTTCTGGTTATAAAACCTTTCCCTAGACAAGCTCCTCCCAGAGACACAGATGATTTATGTTTGCTGGACTAGAACACATGGTTTTGGTCTGATGCTCTTAAGTCCCCACATGAAGATGGGAAGAGTTAGGAAGAACTGGCTCTCACCTTGGAGCCTGGTGGGCCTTGTATAAGACTATTCTGGTCTTCGGGGTTCCTCAGAAACAGTTCTGTACAAAGAATTGGATGTGTACTGGAGAATTCCCAAAACGTCATCCTGCCAAGAGTTGTCTCAGTAATTCCAAAGACAACTAGTGTCTCTCTTAGGAGAGAGAGGGAGGAGAAGGGGCGGGGGAGCCAAGGGGAGAAATCCTCGTTGGCACGCTGGACCAAAGGTTAATGGGACCTGGGCAGTTTGGGGGATCATTTCACATTCAGTCTTTGGAGAAAATACTGAGATGATGCAGGCACTGTTCCTCGCCTGCTTGGAAGGCTGCTGGTGCTTCCTCTGTCCAGCGTCCCCAGGCCCGCGGGGTCCGGGAGGCTGATGGACACTACTGGTAGGCTCAGCAGGTAGAGGTGCGCTTTCGGTAGAGCTGAATTAGAGGCACCAGACACTCTGGAAGCCCTGTCTGCAGCAGGAAGGGGTGGTCTAGCAGCTCCTGGGCGGTAGCTCGATCCAGGGGGTCTCGAATCAGCATCCTCTCCAGGAAGTCTCGAAGCACTGGGGAGGTCTGTGGAGATGAAACAGAGTGAAGCGCAGGTATAGGATTGTAGATCAAGAAGAAAGGGGGACCTTGGAAGTTATCCAGTGCATTTCATAGATGAAGAACCAAGGCTTAGGGAAGTTAAGTGACTTGTCCAAGGTCACACAAATATTAAGTGGCAAAGATGGGGTTTGAACCCAAGTTCTATGGCATTGTTCTTACCACTGTGCCAGAGCCAGATCAAGGAGGCTGTGTTCCTGTCTGAGAAATATTTTGTTGCCCCTTGGTGCTACCCCCCTCCAATCTCCACAGAATACCCACCTTGATGTTGGAATGAGGATGTTTCTCATACTAGGTAACCCATTTCAAATAGGCTTCAGTTATAGTTAAGTCAACAAGGGTGGGGGGACCTGCAGCCTCAAGGCCACATGTGACCCTCCAGGTCCTCAAGTGTGGCCCTTTGATTCAGCCTCGAGGCCACAGGTTCCCCACCCCTGGTTAAATGGGTCAAATGAACCTATTTTTCAAAGACAGCTGGTGGCACAGTGGATAGAAAGCTGGTCCTGGAATCAGGAAGATCTGAGCTCAAATCCAGCCTCAGCTACATACTAAATGTGTGATCCTGGGCAATTTCAGTTTCATTTGCCTCACAGTAAAATGAGAATAATAACTCCTACCTCCCAGGGTTGCTGTGAGGATCAAATGAGATAATATTTATTAAAGTGCTTAGCATAGTACCAAGCACATAGTAGGAGCTATATACATGCTTATTCCTTTCCCTTCAAAGTATTGCACATTTAGTTTTTAGTAGTTTCTCTTCCTTATCAAGATATAGTTTGGCAACCTCTACTTCCTTGTTTCCTAGGCTCAATGTCAAAAACCCAGTAGCTTTTTTAGATTACCATATTGCTTTGACTATAGGCTGCACCCTTAAAATGAAATCTCATTGAAAGAAAAAAAGAAAACCCCCATGGACATTCACTGAAATAAAATTACACCAAATTATTGTAAGGATACACATTTATTTGAAATATTTCTCTGGAAGGGACAGAGACTCTTTAATCTGGATCTGGCACAGTAGTAGGAGCATGACTCTGGAGCCAGAGGGCCTAGCCAAATCCTACCTCTGTCACTTACTATCTGGGTGACCTTGGGCAAATTACCTAACTTTTCCCTGGACCTCAGCTTCTTCATTTGTAAAATGGGGGGGGGGGTGGATGGACTAGATGGCTTTGAAGGCCCCTTCTATTTCAAGAACTACAATCCTATGCCTTTTCTTTTGCTTTTTTTTTCCAAGTCAAATAAACAATTCAGTGATCTCTTCAGCTTTATTACACTTACCATTTATTGAATGCCAAGAATTATTCAGTCTAGATGAAGAGTGATTATAAGATACAATCTTCAGAAAAGCCAGATTTTGAGGAGAGGGGGAATTACTACTTATATTCAGGCAACACTGTGTCTTCTGGGCTATGGGCCAGCTTTGGGGAAAGTGTTGAGCCCTTTGCTAAATACGGAACCAAGAAATCTGGAGCTATGGGAATCTGGGTTACAATCTTTCTTCTCCCCAAAAGGAGACACAGCCATCCCATTGCTTGACAAATGGTATAGTGGAAAGGGCACTATAAAGGGTTCTAGGAATCAGGAGACCTAATTTCTAGGCCTGGATCTACCACTAAGCCCCTTTCTGATCCTGAGTATGTTATGTAACTTCTCTGAGACTCTCTTTCTCTCTGTTTCTCTCTGTCTCTGTGTCTGTGTCTCTGTTTCTGTCTCTCTCTCTTGCTCTATAAAATGGGAGTAAGAATACAATCCTTATCTTGCTAACTGTGGTCAAGATGAAAGAATAAGGTAGTGAAAGTATTTTGGAAAACAAAATGTGACACATATATAAGATATTAATATTATCCAAGCTAGGACATTGGTATGGTACCTCATAAAACTAAACCTCTTTAGCTCCTAAAGAAGGAGGCTTGTTTTGAGATATCTGAGCCCCACTGCTAAGTCCCAGAGGGCAGAAATGGGTGAGTCCAAGAACTAAAAAATACTACTCAATTGTCCTTGAAGATACGTCATAACGCTTCTGTCCCAACATTCCCAGGGCAAGGCCAACACTACTGGCTAGGTTCCTGCTCTTTGCCTCATCCCCCTCCCCAGCCCCCATTCCTTTCAAATAGTTCAATTACAACCTCTGACATTTCTTTTTCTTGCCACCAGGTGTCAGTGTAGCATTGCAATCTTATTTCCTTCTAGTAGAGCAGGTATAAATTACTGGTTGATATTAGCATGAATTTTGTACAAAAAGGTCTGGGTTTTTTTGGGGCACATTTCTTGTATGCAGCAAATGGCTGACTTTTGCTTTCTTATCCATTCTGACATATCCTTTGATTTTATTGGGTTGTTTAATTCATTCACATTTAAGGTTAAAACTTTAAGTTTGTAGTTTTTCTACATTAATTTCTTTTGTGTTTGTTTTTACTCTTTTTATCTTCTAAGTCAGCACTTTTTGGTGCTGACTTAGGTTTCGGTGATTAGTGTTATTGTATCTTCTTCTTTTTTTTTTGGAGAGGCAATTGGGGTTAAGTGACTTGCCCAGGGTCACACAGCTAGTGAGTGTCTCATGTCTGGACTGAAACTAGATTTGAACTCCGATCCTCCTGACTCCAAGGCCGGTGCTCTGTCCACTGCACTGCCTAGCTGCCCCCTATATTATTTTAATCCTAGTCTGTTTCCACAGGCTCCCCCCCCACTCTCATTTGACTGTTTTTAGTTATTTTTAAAATATTCATTTGGGGGAAGACTGTGGCTTGGATATTAACAATGATACAGATTTGATGGTATAGTCTGGGAACCATCACTTTGTGACATAGGAACCCTGGAAAGTGTTTGTCCGTATGCATAAATCCCTCCTCCCTAGGGATGGGAGGATCTTGAGATGGAAGAAACCTTAGAAATTAAGGATGCCTTTGTTTACAGATGAAGAAGCTGAGGTCTTTTGAGGTAAAGTCATTTGTCCAAGTTCACACAGGTTGATGATGCAGAATTTGAACTCATATCTTCTGACTCGAAATCCAGAATTTATTCACTCCCACTGGTACTGGTGCTTTTCTACATTTCCCTTTGCACATCAGCTTATCTTTCCTGGGTTCTGGAGCTCCCACCTTGACTGCCTGGCTTCTCTCCTCACTCATCCTAAGATCCTGACGTTTTAGTAACTTCAGGGTCTAGGTGAGTCAGGTGACTCTGCTATGAGGCCAGATCAAGGGAGAAAACTAGGGGATGTGGTCATAGCCGTGCGGCTTGAACATGGAGTCAGAGTGTCTGTGGATAAAGGAATGGCTTTTCATGTAAATCCATACTCTCTGGTTTCTGTGCCCAAAGGGCTAACCATGTCTCCGAGATCCTGGGCTCTACCCCTTTTGAGGCAGAGCTGGTTGTGTGAGGTATGATCATGTGAGCTATAGGGACTTACTGACCTTGTGAGAGTTTTTCAGTTTGGGTGGGGGGCTGTCCCGAAGCCTCTTCATAGCTTGCACTGGAGAGTCGCTGAAATACGGGGGCTCCCCATCCACCATCTCAATCACCATGATGCCCAGAGACCAGATATCCACCTGTAGAAAGAGAATGAGCATCAGTGGCTCTCCTCTGCCAGTGCTCTCTGTCCTTGGTGACTCTCTGGAGAGCAATGGTGAGAGGCTGACTCAGGACAGGCTTTCTTCCATCCACTGATCGAATTTCCTGCAACCAGCTCATCAGTCAGCCACCTATAGCTACTAAGTGACTACCTGTGTAGAGTCTTATACTTGGCCCCCAGGGAAGAGAGGAACTGCACCCCGAGACCGTATCTGCAACTGCTTTGGACTAACTCAAGCCTCCTGGGAACTCAACAAACAAGGAGAGGGAGAGATCACTTGAGCCTTACGTCCCTCTTAGCTAAATTACCAAGAGGCGGCTAATATGGAAGTATATTCTTCATGATTTCACATGTATAATTGATATCCTATTACTTCCCTTCAAAATGGATGGGGGAGAAACTGAAGGAAGAGAATTCAGAACTCAAATTTTAAATGAATGTTAAAAATCAACAATATGTTTATTAAAAAAAGGAAGTTAACAAAAATAAGTAGATAAATAAATTTGCCACGAAAGAAGTCAGCCAACTTCTAGAATGACCAGTGGAAAACAATGAAGAGGAATGGAGGAAGATCATAAATTCAGAGCTGGAAAGGACCTTAGAGACCACTGAGTCCAATTTTTTTTTAACAGAGGAGGAAACTGAGGCCCAGTGAGGTTAAATGACTTGTCTAGGGTCATGGAATTTGGAAGGGTATAAGGCAGGATTTGAACTCAAGTCTTCCCAACTCTAAGTCCAGAGTCCTACCCACTACACCACGCTGCCTCAAGAGACATAGAAGGGGTTGGGTAGTGGCTACGGCAATATGAAAAGTAGGAATTTGGCGGGGAATGAGGGTACATTCTATGGCCAATAGCCAAGGTGGAGTCATGAAGGAGAGGCCAAAATTAGAGCAGGGGCAAGTGGAACAACATATAAGGGAAGGTGTAGGAGGACTGTGAGTAGTGAAGAATTACCTCAGTTGTGTATGGAGACCTTGAGATCACTTCTGGAGCCATCCAGTAAGGAGTGCCAACCAGAGACTTCCTTTTGGGAACATCTTTGCTGATCTGGGCACAGAATCCAAAGTCTGAGAGTTTTACCTGGTAAAGGAAAGGAAGAAGAGAGCAAGAGCAAGACGGGATGAGTGGCTGACTAGGAGATGGAAAGGCCTCAGGAAAAGAAGAGAGGGTGCAATGTAAAAGACAGAGGAAAGTGGGAACCTGGTATGTCAGGCTGAGATGGAGAAAGTCAGAGGAGGGACCTACCCTTCCATCAAGGGTCAGGAGTATGGAGTCACTCTTGATGTCTCGATGGATGACACCCTGAGAGTGAAGGTAAGCGAGGGCTTGCAAGACTGATTCACTCACGGTGGCGATCTGCTCCTCGTTCAGGCTGCAGGTAGGAAGCGGAGTCTCAGCGGGGTTAGATTTGGGGAGGGCTGCAGGGGGTTGGGGGCATAGGGGTGAACCAACTGCAGCCAGGTGGCCTATGACACCCGCCTCCTCCCATGGTTGGAAACTGTCCCTCTATCTCTAGATCCCTAAGGCCTCACTCAGGGCAGGACAGCCTGGATCCCGTTCAAGCTGGCCCAGCAATTCAGGCCTGGATTTAGAGGAGAAAGACTAAAATTCACTCTGCCCCTAGAATGTCACTTCCTTCCACTGGGCCTGTTTCACCACGTGTCAAAAGTGTAGCAGTAGATGGTGTGGGGAAATTCCCAGAGGTGGGGGTATGCACATGCATGTGCACAGAGAGTCTAGGGAGTTGGAGGTTTGGGATTGTGGGGGAAGGGGCACCTAAGAGCCCTGGGACTGGACACATACCTGACTTGGGACACAATGTCAGTAAGGGCACCCCCCTGCAGAAACTCCATCAGCACCCACAGCTCTTCACCCACCAGGTAGCTCTTGTACAACTCTACCACGTTGGCGTGCTGATAATCTCTCATGATCACCACCTGTGGAGGCAGCAGGGGCCACTGTGAGTGTCCCTGGGGTCCTTCCCCTGGTGGAGGCTCCCCGAGGTTTCAGATCCCTGACCTTGATTGGCACTCCCACTCATTCCCCAGAGAATCCCTCCCCTGGCACCTCGTTAAAGAGCAGTTCTCGGCGTTGCTGTTTCCTCAGGTCCATCATCTTGACCGCCACCTGACGCCCGGAGTGCTTCTCCCGGGCCAGGCAGACGATGCCCGTGGAACCCTCCCCGATCTTCACGTAGCTCTCCAGCAGCAGTCGGGGATCTCCTTGGTCTACCACCATCCTTAGGGCTGCCTTGAATTGTTCATGGGTCACGATGCCTGGCTCCTCTCCGGCTGTTACAAGGGCCTTGGCCGTGGCAGGGTCTTGGGGGAGGTGCAGGTTGCTGGCGCTGGTTTGGGGGTGCCGGGTTCGGGGGGAGCCGGCGGGGGAGGGGCGGCCAGGGGGTGGGGCTGCTGCCGGAGCCGTCCGAAGGGACTTCTGGGGGCTGCTGGTTTCAGAGACGATCAGGTTATCGAAATCCCCCGCGGACTGATCAGAGAGCAAAGACGGGGCCTTGGCTGACAGGCTCGGGGGAGAGTCTTTCTGTATCGACCGGAAGAGGGAATTGGGCTGGATGGAGGGAAGGAGGAAGAAAGAGGAAGGAGATTTAACAAGAGCCAACTGGGCCTGTCTGGCCTGGGTTTAGGGGCATTAAAGGGCAGGAGAATGGATCTGACCTCTGAGGCTCCTGCCAGGCTCAGGAGCCCCCGGGGGCCTGGGAGATGAACTGAACTGAGAAGCTTCTGCAAATAAGACTTTCAAATGAGCCACAGCCAAACCACAATTCTGGCCTGTAGTGAGGAGGCAGAATAGTAGCTCTGCACAGCGGTGACTCTTCCCACTCCAGAGAAGACGGTGAAAAGCCACTTTCTTCGGGGGCACCCCGTTTGCTGAATGGACAATAGCAAGGCCCCAGGGAGACCTTTGTGACGGAGTGTTCTGCGGGGCTCCTGTGGTGAGCCAAGTCACAGGGAGTCTAGGCTACAGATTACAGGAGTCTGGCTGTCTCCTCTCCCCCCACCCCTACCACACACACACACACACACACACACACACACACACACACAGAGGAGGGCCCGGCAAGGACACCCACAAGGGCTGCTGGGACTTGCCCCTCTCACAACCAGAGCAGGGAATTGGTGATTACTGAGCTATCGCTGCTGCTGCTACTGCTACGGTCAGGCAGCCCCTTTTGGCAACGAGCAATAAGCAACCGAAATATTGTAAAAACAGTTGGGGTTTTCTGCCAGGGAGGTGAAATAAAAACGAAAGAAACATCTCATGTCATGGACCACCAGAGTGGGGAGTGGGATTCCTCAGACTTATTTCAACCCAGTGTTTTCTTAGTAGCTCTTAGTAGTAGAGGGAAACTCAACGCTCTTTATTTCAGTCACCTAAAGTGGCACGTGATACAGAGACAGTAGGAAGGGCCCCAAAGAACACCAAACCCTCTCCCCATGGGAAAGGGGTTAGAGATAAGACTCCACTCCCCTAGCTGTGTGATTAGAGGCAGCAAGGTGGTGTGATTGGACGTGATGGGCTGGCTTCAGGGAGACTTAAGTTCAAGCACTGCCTTGTACACTGGCCGGCTATGTGACCCTGGACAAATCCTTAACTTCTCGGGGACTCGTAAAATGAGGAGAGTTGTACTTGGTGGTGTCTAGGGTTTCTTTACACTCTAAATCTGTGATTCTATTATTGCAAGCCCAGAAAACTGAAAGGGAGATCCAAGGTTGACCTTCCCCTGGGGATTTTTCCTTCAAGAGAGGGTGATGGGCTTACCATGTCTGCCTTTTGGCCAAGACTGGTCTTTCTCCCTACTCCTTTGGGAGGAAGGAAAGGCGGGACCAATAGGGACTCCTTATCCTTGTGTCCTTCCCTGCCACCCTGGGGTTCCAGGCCCAAACAAAAGTGGTAAACAGTGGAAAGATCAAAGGATCTGGTCAGAAGACCTAAGCTCATTTCCTATCTGTTCATCCTTGGACAAGCCACAACCTCTCTCTGCCTCAGTTTCTTCATCTGTAAAATGAGAAGGTTTGAACTAGATGTCCTCTGAGCTCTCTCCTAACTCTGGACCTATGTTCCTGTGATCCTAGTTCAACCTGCTTATTTTATAGATGAGGGAAATGAGAAGTGAAGGGATCTGCCCAAGGTCACACGGGAGTAAAGAGCAGAAACCACATTTGAACTCCATCCTCAGAATCCAAATTCAGGGCTTTTGAAGAGGCAGAGCCAAGACTAACACTGGGTGTAGTGGGCTGGATTCAAATCCTGGTTCTACTACTTACTACTTGTATGACATGGCAGCTTACTTCACCTATCTCAGCCTCAGTTTCTTCAGCTGTAAACAGAAGAGTTGGGCAGCTAGGTGGTACTGCAGATAGTCAGGAAGCCTTGAATTCAAATTTGACCTCAGGCACTTACTGTGGGACCCTGGGCAAGTCACTCACAACTCATAGCCTCAATTTCCTATCTGAAAAATGGAAGGAAATAAGCATTTGTTAAGCACCTACTATGTGCCAGGCACATGCTAAATGCTTTACAAGTATCCTCTCGTTTGATCCTTACAACAACCATGGGTGTTATGGCTTTCCTCATTTCACAGAAAGGAAACTATGGCAGACAGAGGTTAAATGACTTGCCCAGAGTCACATCACTAGTAAATGTCTAAGGCCAAATTTGAACTCAGGTCTTCCTGACTCCAGGCCCTGGGCTTTATCCACTGTGCTACTTAGCTGCCTCCAATAAAGGCAGTTGGGAATCAAGTGTCCTGCAAACCTTAAAACACTATCAAATGCAAGGTAGTATTACCCTCTCCAGTAGCATCTGCACTTTAAAAGAGGAGGTAGCTCTTATTAACCCAAAGGAATGAAAGAATGCAGAATGAATAATAACTACCATTTATAAAGCACTTTGATGGTTGCAAAGCACTTTACATATATTATCTCATTTTATCCTCACAATAACCCTGTGAGAGAGATTCTATAATGGCTATTTTACAAATTTTACTGGGGCACAGAGAGGTTTAGTGACTTGTCCAGAACTAGTAAGTATCTGAGGCAGAATTTGAACTCAGGTCTTCTTGATACCAAGACCAGCAATCTATCCACTGTGCCACCTAGTTATCACCAATTAAACTCCATGCTGAAATTTCATTCCCTGGGGCCCTGGTTTGGGGAGGTATTTGTGGAACAGAGGGCTTTCTCGTAGATCTCTAAAACAGAAAACAAAATCCCACCATGTAGGCAACTGCTTACTCTGTCTACTTGTAAAACCAGTCTGGTCCCTGAAGCACAGCAAAGGTGCCCAGAAATGTTGACTAATTTCTATCTATCAGGTCCTGAGGGCTGGACTATTCAAAGATCTCAAGGCCTAGCTCCTGGCACTGCAGGGCTTAAAATGAAGGCTCCCACCTGTTTGACCTCCTCCTCCTGTGGGCTTTAGGGTCCAAACTCTAGTCTGGGCATCTGTACTGACTGTCCTTCATGCCTGGGATCCTCATCTCTGCCTCCTGGCTTCCTTCACTTCCCTCTGCTCAAGCTAAAATCCCACCTTCTCTAGGAAGCCTTGTCCCCTCTCCTTAATTCTGATGCTTTCCCTCTGTTGGTTATTTCCAATTTATCCCAAAATACTTTGTATATAGTTGTCTGCATATTGTCTCCTCTGTTAGATTGTGAGCTCCTGGGAAACAAGTGCTATCTTTTATCTTTCTTTGTAGGGGCTTAGCATTGTGCCTGGTAAATAGTAGGTGTTTAATAAATGTTTATTGACTGACTTGATCGACCTAGGCCATGAGATCTTTCATTTGGAAGTAGAGATGGGAGCCCCAGCCTGCCAGCTAATGCCTGTCTGGAAGCATCTGCTGGCTCCCTGCAGAGCTACACCAGGGTTTGATAGACAGTAGGGGGAGAAGGGATGCTGGTTGTGGGAGGGCTGTTCCTGGCTCCTACTAAAATTATCATTTCGGTAGAGACAAAAAAAAACTCCTAGAAAAAAATTTTTTTTCAGTATTAATCCATCTTCAGGTAGGTATGAGCAATGTAGAATAATGGAGAAAAACAGAGCTAGAGGGGCAGCTCTGGGCTTACTGTGTGACCAATGAATGGGTCATTTCTGGTCACTAAGCCTCAGTTTTTCTCATCTGAATGAGCATGCCCAGGGCTGCCCTCCACCCCCCAAATGCACATACACATACAGAATACAGGGGCGAGTAACCAGGACTGGAGCAGACCTCAGACACCACTTAGTCCGAACCCGATATTGTAGAGAAGAGAAAAACTGAGGCCCACAGATTTGCTCAAGGCCCTCTCTGTAGGGAACGGCAGAGCCAGGATTCCAGAGCTGGGTTAGTTCCACCCAGGCCAAAGTCAGAGAGCACTTTCCGTTGTACCATGCTGCTTTCCTCAACCTTTCATCTAACTAGCTCTGGACTTAGGGGTCAGAATACCCAAGTTCTAGCCCTGGCTTACCTGCCTAAGTGCATAACTTTAGGCAAATCATTTTGGCTGTCGGGAACTCAGTTTCCTTATCTGTTAATGGACGGGCCAGACTAGGTGATCTCTGTGGTTCCTTCCTTCCAGCTCTAACATTCCACCCTTCTTTGATCCTGCTCAAAGCTTCTAAAGGGCAAAGCCAGGAAAAGGACAGTTCTCGGCTTAGAGCCCAAGCCAGCCCCACCCTCTCCCATTCTATGCCTCACTCTATGGAGATCACTTCCCAGCAGCCTTCTCTCCCTGGAAAATGCCTTTCGCCCTGAGGCCCCCTCCTCTAGGAACCTCCATTTGAGGATGCGCCAAGCAGCCAGGCTTGTGGCTCCCCTCCTGACTCTCCTGGAATTTTTCCCCATCCCCACACCCCTCCCCCCTCATTCTTTTTATTTCCCTTTTATGTGCTGTCTTCACCTCTCTTGTTGTTTCTTCACAATGTCTTCTCAAGCAGAACATTTTTTGCTTTTCTTTATATTCCCACTGCTTAGCACAGTTCTTGGCTTATAGTAAATGCTTAATAAATGTGCTCTCTCTCTCTCTATCTCTGTCTCTCTACCTACCTATGTATATCTCTCTCTATGAATCTATCTCTTTTTCCTTTCTCTATCTCTCTGTCTCTCTATCTACATATATATGTATCTATACCTCTGTCCGTGTCTCTTTCTATTTCTGTATCTCTGTCTCTATCTTTAACTATCTGCCTATATATATGTATATGTATATATATACTCATACATACATACATACATATATGATATAGCACTGGGCTTAGAATTAGGAAGACTCATCTTCCTGAGTTCAAATCTGACCTCAGACACTTACTAACTGGGTGACCCTGGGCAAGTCATTTAACCCTGGCTGCCTCAGTTACATCATCTGTAAAATGGAGAAGGAAATGGCAAACCAGTATCTTTGCCAAGAAAATCCCAAATGGGGACATGAAAAGTCAGACATGACTGAAACAACTATATACACACACATATATATATAATATACATGTTTCATATCATCATATACACACACACACATATGTGTCTGTCTCTGTATCGATTATCTATCTATCTCAGCTGGTGATGCTATGGG